GCTGCAAATAACCCCTGGCCAGGCTTGCTGTGCCCCACTCCCTGTAGCAAGGCGATGCTTGGAGAGGAGAACTAATTGCCTGCTAATTGGCTTGTTGACAGGTGTCAGCCCTGCCTGCAGCCCGCTGAAAAATGTGCCTTCATTAGCGTGCCCAATTTCCCATAAATAACACGGATGTGCTAACTTTGCCTGCTCTCCCCCTCCATCTCCCCTCCCTGGGGTCTGATGCTGCTTTAGGGTCTTGACCAGCTTTGAGGGGCTGCTGGCAAGGCCCAGGGCTGCTGTCTCCCCGCGCTGCCCTCTCCCTTGCACCCTCGCCTACCTTGATGGCAGCCGTGGCAATCTGGATGTGGTGGAGCCGGCGCAGTGTGCTCTCCCGGTCAATGAAGTAGGAGGCTGCCAGCTGGTGCAGGGTCTCCAGTGAGACCCCCAAGCTGTTCCCGGCTCCCCCGGCGGGCTCTGCCCTCCGGCTCAGCTTGCGCTTGTCCACAAAAATGGTCAGGGACTCCTCTCCTAGGGGGACATGCAACACTTTCGGGGGGCTGCTGGGCTCCCCCCATTCCCCTTCTTGGTTGTATTTCTCCTGCAGTGCTTATTTTCCCACCCTCCCTCCTCTGCATGCTGCCTTGTGCAAAGGAAGCAAGCAGGGAGTGAGTGGGGAGCGAGCACACACCAGCACTCACCTCCCAGCGTGGCGGCGAGCAAGAAGTGGGTCCCATACTTTTTGATGAGGCTGTCAGTAATCTGCTGGGGGCTGGGCCGGCGTCCCAGTAGACGGATGTTGCGGATGAATTCGGGGGCCAGGGGAAGCGGCAGGCTGAAGAAGTCTTTCCTCTCCAAGGCCAAATTATTCACCTTCCAGCGAGCAAACTCTCTGCAGGAGGAGAGCAGCGGTGGGGAGAGGGTTGAAAGCCAGTTCAGCAATGCCACATGCACACTGTCCCCTCCACTGTTCCCGGTTCCCACCTCAGGGCAGGGGATCAGTAGGTGGAAAAACTCTGGTTGGGACCATCCTGACCTCCCCATCGCCACGGCGGAGGTGAAGGACCTTCTTCATGTGCTTGCCAGCTATAGATCCAGCCAGTACAAAAGCATCCCTCCCTAAGCCATCGATGGCGATAACAAGCTACAAGCAGCGGAGATGCCTGACATTGATTAATCAGGCACCTCTGGCAGGCATTAATCACAGCCCAGGGCAGGGCCAGAGCCTTTTCCAGCCCACTGGGCTGGATGGGCCTCATCCATCCTCCATCCCCACGCCTACAGATCTGGGTGAAAATCCAGTATCTGGGGGTTTCATGGTTTTAAATATTGGCAGTGTTTTGTAGGAAGCTGGAGGCGTTGGGATGTGGTGGGGTTGGTGGTAGGTCCCCTCGTAGCCCTGGAGGCTGTGAATGTGCCCCCCCATTGCACCCCCGGCATCGCCCAGCCCTGGGGAGGAGTTGCCAGCCTGCTGCTGCCTCGAACTACCAACAGTCCCATAAACAACCAGCAGCCAGTTTCAGCCTAATCTTCGGCATTTTGCTCTAATTAAAACCAGGCGGTGGCTTTCAGACAGTTTAATTAGGACTGGTTGGGAAAGGAGGGAGAGGAGGAGGGAGGGGTGGATGGTGCAAAGCAGCTGAGAGGCTTGGTGGGTGCTGGGTTGCCTCCCAGCATGATTTTTGGGGCCAGGAGCAGCGCTGGGGGTGCGGGAGGAGGGATGCTGCCTCTCCCCTTGCACACACACGCCCCGGGCGACCGCGTGCGTGTGG